TTTGGGCGCAAAGCCACGCTAACTGCAACAGCGGGGGCTCGTGCGTCAAAAGCGCCGCAGGCGTCATTGCTACACACACACCCATAAAGACAAAGACAAAGGTCTTTTTAAAAAGTGAAAGCGGCGCAGCCTTGATGAAAGACCTGCTGGCAGCGCAAACGCCTGAGGTGACGGATCACCAGCGCAAGGACTGCATGTCAAGTCACATACAAAGCAATTAACAGCCCAGCCAAGAAACAAAAAACGTAGTTAAAAGCGTTCAAAAACAAAATAAACAGTCTTGTTTGATAGCATTTCGAAGAAGACTAATTAGCACAGCCTTTTAAGCGCATTTTGTCGAATTGACCTTATAGCTGTGTGTCAGACAAAACAAATGCAACAAAAACGTAATAAATATACAAATAATTATAATTAATTTGAATCAATTTTTAAATTATGATATAACAAAATGAAAATTTTCGATTATTAAATTCAATTGAACAACTCATTAAGTCATTAAATTGGAGTTTATGCACTTGGCAATAAATTAATAGCGCAACCTTTGTGCCACAAGACAAATAATTTTCATTGGTCCGGCGTCGAATAATTTCCAAAATTCAAATTTATTGTCAACTTTTTCTTAAGATGAGTTATGAGCAATGAATAAAATTTATTCTGCAGTTGGCGCTACAATCGAATGGCTAACTGAAAGTAAATCCGAATAATTCATCACAAAGTATAACCGAGTCAACATTCCATCTATTCGCTGTTTGGCGACAGATCCTTCTCTACCGGTCCAGGTACTGTGTCCGAACTTTCAAAACTAGAGTATTCTTATCCATCCCGAGTACATGTGCTCTCGACTTCCGGTCTTCGACCAAGTATCCTCTGGGAAACCAACAAACCTCCGTTTGGAGGCGAGCTAAAGTGAGAATGCTAATCACTTGCGGCTGTGGGTAGAGCTTGGGACCCAACAACAAAGCTTCGGATGACAGACACCCTATTTGATGACTAGAGTACTACAGACCCAAAATAATCAATCGACTACCTGTTGCAGCTAAACGGGGAAATTCACCCTTTGGGTGCAAGGTGGTTAGGGTAGGATATCCTGTCTCCGCTTCTCTGGATATTGGTTGTTGACGAGTTGTTTAACAAACGAAGATATAGAATCCCGGTAAAGATTTCCCTCGGACGTAAGCCTTCTTTTATTGTCAAAGAATGAGTGAAGTAATTGGTGACAATTCTATACAGAGCACTTTCTAGGAAGGCAAACAAGAGAGTAAGAAAAAATGGGGGCTTTTGCCCTTAATTAGTATATTGGATCTGTACAACTTAAATCAAGAATATCTTGAGAAGGAACGTTTGTAATCTCTGTTTATCGCGTTGATTTTAAATCATAGCTGTGAACTGTCATGGTGAAGAGTTTGCCTGTATGGTCTTCACCGCTTCATGAAAGTCAGATGGACGTTACTCTATCAACTTTCGGTCTGCTTATGGACTTATGTGTATTGAATCAAGTCAGCCAGCAAGTGTGGTAGCACTACAACTGACATGCTTGTGAGATCCGTCTGAACTAAGCTGGACGGTAGAAGTACAAGTTTTGACCGGACATTGTCCGATGGGAAGCTCATGCGGAAGGAATTGGTATTTTTCGAGATTCCCAGCGTTGTTGATGTTTCGAAGAAAAACTGTAATCATTTATGTACTTTCTCATGCACCTTCATGCGCTTGAAAGATTGAGATTTTGCGGATCGCTTACCTTCACCAACTCAGAGGAGTTAACAGATATTGACCACAGACAAATTTGTAGATTTTTGATATGCACTAAGCAATTTTTACTCTTTGTGGCATCAGTATGGCCGTGTCTTGCGTGACTAGGTGGGCTTCCCTTGTGGCAAAATACACACATAATCTGATATATTCAGGGTATTTTTCTGTATGCCTGTCCTAATACATTCGCTTGGGATCAGCCACTTCCAATGAACCTAGTGTAAAGAGATTCGAGGTTGTTGTTTGGGAGTGTTTATAATTTCCTTTAACGATGTTATGGCCAATAAAATCATATTGTCAGTAGAAAATATTTCTTAACGAATTTCCTGCCTTTCGAGTCAGTCTTATTCAACTCTTACAATACTCCGAGCAACAAATTCTTAAATTTTCAAATTAAATTTTAAATTAACCGATTTCTTAAATAGAAATTCTGAAAAGCAAATACAATTTTTCTCCATTCTTAGATGCATTGTGCCTTTTACTATACAGATGTATCTTAATGAATTATGTGCGCTAAAATGTAGAAATTATGAGTTAATTAAAAAATATAGTGAATTTTTTTTTAACAAAAGAAGAAGAAGCAAACACAAAGTAACGCCGAATTGAAAGGCTTTCATTGCATTAAAACTCAACTGAAACTGGACACAATACCAAAGAACAGACAAAAAGTCAAGTAATAAAGGCTGGTGAGAGACGAAGGCCAACTGTGAGTTCAACATTAATGCGGAACTTAATTAGAATTTATATGTACACATATAAATACATGCACAAAAATAAACTGACAAAAAAAATATAAAATTAACTAAGAATTCTCGTTGGCAACACGAATAAGAGGACCTCAAAGGGTGTCTATATAACAGCGGGAGGACCATCAAAAAACAATCAGGAAAGAGTAAACAGTTTTTAATGAACACAGACTACAAGCGTAGTAGAAAATAAAGGTTCACCGAAAGGCCGAAAAGTGTAGAAGGGAAAATGCGATTCAAACTCCAATAGTTTTAATTTTTTGTATGGATTTACACCCGTGTCTATTTATATATATATGTATGTTTAGGTATGTGCACAAAGCCAAAAATCGACTTTTCAGACCAGAAAATGGCAGTTGTTTAATTCCAAATTGCAAAAACCTTAGCATAGTTATGAATAGTTTAGAAATTTTTTAAGCGAGCAGCGTTCTATGCTTAATAACCGTTGCATACTTTTAGGTATAAGGTTTTGTTTCCTGCCATTTCATGTACTATATAAGTGCGATTCTCAACTGGATAGTGAAGCGATAATCTCACTAGTATCGAAAGTAAGCTCATAATAAACAGGGTTATCAATTTTGCGGCTTCGAAAATAAATTTAAATAAAATTCTTTACAAATAATTTTTTCATGAAATTCCTTTTTTATTATAGTTTAAAGTCAAGTTTAAGCCTTGACATTATACGTATGTGAAACATTAAATCATTCAAATGACCGCATCACGAATTCTATCCGTTTGAGAGAACTTCCGACCACTTTTAGGCGCATATTAAGGGGGATATCTCGGCCATCACTTGACGGCTGGTGATTATCAATTGCTCAAGAGTTAAAGGTTTCCAAGAGTGCACCAGAGAGTATTTTTTTTTTTATTTACGGCCTCTTTTCAATTATTTCAAGATTCACGGAGCTTTGATTGCGACAATTTTACTTAAATTAATTTAATTTAATTTTACTAAAATGTGTTCGAAAAATCGCCGTCCATCGATTGATGTTCAAGCACCTAATCGACATATGTGCGACTTTGTGAATGGTAAGCTGGCCTCAGTTGTTGTGGAAGCTGGACTTTGTATGGATGTAGGTGTAAGTCCATGTGCAAACTATGTCCCAAAGTGCCGGAAGAATTACACTGCAAAAGGCAGACTCCAGCCTTCGGCTACACTTTCACTCATATATTTAAAATGGAACGTGTGAAACGTTGATGCATAAACCTTGCATGTCTGTAGCCGGTCCAGTCTTTTCAAATTACTTTTAGATGTTACCAATTGCTTGAGTAGTTGGACGATTCCACGTTTGAATCATTTATGAAGTGTTTTAACAATTTTAACGCGTTGTGCGGCTGCTAAGCGATCTGTTTTCATAAGCATAGTAATCTTCTATGTAAACATATAAAAGGCTCTGACCGGAATGACTGAAGGATCAACCCACACAGCCTAAACCATTGAGCGTAGAGAAGGATTTTCTGGGATGTGGACCTGGATCCGATTTATGCGAAATAATCGAATTCGGTTTTAAATTGTTCGAAATTCTTGAAATTTGGTACACATATAGCTTTTGGTCTAAATTGGCATGGAGAACTTTATTTTTCCTGGAAATGAGAGCAGTTACTTGGATATAGCGTAGCCGAGTTACGTATGTTGTGCACTGAAGCCAATCGAAAAATCTCCATTTTTTGAACTAATCATTAATTGCAAGCTTTATTTGACGTGAATTGATGTCGTTCGGTGTCAGCTTTTTTTTTTACAGGTGACAGGTGTCTGAGAGTGAATGTGCGTACATATGTCTGCATGTATTCCGATAAACGATTTGCGTTTAACTAGTTTACTCAGTTGCTTAATAACTTCTTAATAACTAATAGCTTTTAGATTATATCGCTCGGTGGAAGGAAAACAGTTTTGATGTGACCAACTTTTGACATTTTAATTAACTTTTCCGCGCTAGCAAATACATAAGGCGACCGCACGCACCTTCAAAAGCCGGCGGCGAGCCATGCAGCTGCGAAATGAAAATCTGTGAAAGCTACAAATCACAATGCATAATTACTGCTCAAACTAAAGCTGAACTGACCGCGCGGCCGCACGCTCAAGAGTAGTCCCACTTGCCTCCGTTAGGCTAACTCACGAGCACTGCACACTCTAGGTATATAAACGCACAAAAACAAAAAAGAAAAAAACAGAAATACATAATAGACACAGCCATTAAGACAGAGAGTGGGAGAGAAAGAATGGAGTGTGAGAGTAGGAAAAAGTGGTTAGGAAGAGCTTGCTTTAGTTTGCACCACCATTGAATCAAATTACTCCACCACAGCCACGCAAATCACAGCCTCATTAAATATTTCACTTTCTTGGCATTGCAATTTACTTTGGACTTATGTTTTTTTTTTAATGAATTAAAAATCCTCTTAATATTTTCTCTCCAACGGTGTTTGCTCCATCTATGCACTCGCACTCACACTCACACTTGTATCTGCTGCGCCTGCTGGACTATCACATTATCCTGTGAACTACAGTTCCTGCACCGCCACCGCTACCATCGCTGGTGCCGAAAGCACCACCACCACCGCCGCCACCATTGGGCGCTGCTGGTGATAAGCGCGATCTAACTGAAACACAAAAGGCCGCCTTAGAAAAACTTAAGTAAGTTGAGTAAATTTGCTTGTGGTATTACTTATTTGCATAAATTATGACTTAATTGTGAAAAATAACCCACTGCATAAATTGAATTATTCATTACTTACGCGTCGCGTAGGACACGACCGCGCAGGCGTCCTGATTGGTCAGAGATGATGAAGGAGGTGGAATCTGGCAGGAAATTGCGACATGTTGTGTGCAACGACAGGTGAGTGATGGTATGGTAGAGGCCAATAGAAGGCTAAGTAAAATGAGTAGCAATTGGACTACTTTTCCTTTATTAGATTTCTTTACGTTTATGTTCATTATTTCGTGTCTGATATGAGCTACTTCAGCTGTTCTCATTAAAAAATGTTTATTTGTTAGATCTCAACCGATTCTTACATGCAAATCGATGACAAAAGTGGATAACAAGTTCATCTACGAAACGGAGAAGGATAACTCACATAATAAACTGCTAAAACAAATTCAAGGTGGCATCAAATTGAAACCCACACAAACGAACGATCGCAGTAAACCATTCATTGGCGGTTTGAGGAAATTCCGCAAACAAATGACCATTGAAGAACAAATACAGAAATCTCAATCGAAGATTAACCTACTAGCCGAAGTAAAAATATACATTTAAGTTTGTTTCTGCCACAGTTGACTAATGGATTTCCTTTCATATTCAGGCTGCTACCGCTGCTGTTGGTGCTGCTGTTGGTGCTGCCGTTGGTTCCACGGTCGCCGGCGATCCAGCAGCGATTACGAATAGCATTGTGGCTGCACTGTCGATAGATGATCCCAGCGGCGATGAGCTCGATGATATCGATAAAATCCGTGACGATTTGCAGAGTACAAAACAAATGTTGGCACTCGAGCTGCGCAATCGCGAGGCGCAGGATCGTGAAAATAAAAAATTGTTGGCACAAATAGCTACGCTAGAAGCGGAGCTAGAACGTGAAAAGTCTCGTGAGAAGAATCTTGAGTATGGTTCACGTATTATTGTAGCCACAATGGAACCTTCTACGGCCAGTGAAGAGGCGTATTTGAACTCACTTAAGCAAGAAGCGGACGATGCGCGCAAGACAGCTAAAGATTTAGAGAAGAAATATCTCGACACTGGCGAATTACTGGATCAGGCTAAGAGCGAGATAGAAGAGCAAAAGCGTACGATACAAATGCTGGAGCGGAAACTAGCACAGGCGTTACAGGTGAGATTAGTTAAGTTATGGCGGTGGTTGTTGAATAAAACAGTAAAATATATAACCGCAGCATTTATTATTTAATATTTCATAATTATAAACACATACATATATTGCTATTGTTACATATGTACATAATTTAGTGCACTAATGCTTCAATGATTTCTAACACTTGCAAGCTTTTATTTTTAATTGCTTTTTATTAACACAAAATGCCAATTGTAATAACGCTTAAAGGGTGAAGCTTCTAGCATAACTTGTCCTATATGCGCTAAAAGACAAGAAACGAAATATTTTTACTCATATGAAGATCCAGATGATGAGGAGTCATACTATGCAAACTATACTAATGGCTATACTAACAGCAAGGTAACTCTCTTAAGCGGCTAAAATATGCATGTGCTCGTAAGAGGAATATAAAGTAAAACTATAAATATATTACTTATAGGGAGGTGGATCTTTGAATGGCTCGCGACGTCCAAGCGATGTGCACGGCGGTCGGGACAGTTCACCTGAGTTAGATTTAGAGATGAGCGAGAGTGATCCTGATGAGCCGGAAGAAAAGAAGGCAGAACGCCGCGATAGACGATTAGCAAAGGAAGTGAAAGTTCTGCGAAGTAAATTAACGAAGATAAAGGTTAAACGAGAAGCGGCGAAAAAAGAGAAGCTGGCACTCAAGCAAGCCATGAAGAAGAATCACGTCATACTGAAGTATATGCAAAAGAAAAAAAATGCATTCACTTTTTCTATATACATTATGTTTTTAAAATTCCAGAGACGAGAAAAAGAAGTTTAAAAAACTGGAAAAGGAAGTACAGAAAATGGCGGCTTCCATGAAAGACGAAGAAGAGAACGAGGACTCTGATGAAGAAAAGGTAATACATATTATTAAAAATTTAATGCATTTCTTAAATACTCAATAAATATGTTATGCAGGAGGATGAAGCTGAGGAGGAGGAAGAAGCGGAAGAGTCCGAAGAAGATGAAGAAGAGTCTGAGGAATCTGAATCAGAAGAGAGTGAAGCAGAAACAGAAAGCGAATCTGAGGCAGAAGTAACAAATGAAAAATATTTTCAGTGCGTTTAGCATATTAAAAAACAATTTTTTTTCATCACAGGATGCTAGCAATGCAGATAAGAAAAATAATCTGGATCCTCGTGTTAAGAAGCATGAAAGTCGCTTAACAGCTTTGAAGAAGTGCAATGTACTATTACAGGCCAATGTAGACAATCTGCAAGATGAGATTACTCAAGTTCGCGCAAAAGCAGCGAATCTACAAGCTGAGCTGGACGCAGTATTGGCCGATTTGGGCTTCTAAATTACGCGGCAAGTGTGGATGTGATGGCAAAGGATCAACGCTATGCGCGAAATAAATTGTATTTTGCATATTGTATTGCGGTATTTATAGCTATTATTGCGAATAACTAGGAATTTTTCTAATAAAACTACACTTACCTTATCAAACGCAATTGGCTTTTTATTAAATATGTGCTTTAATGTTAAATGAATGCCTGATGTAAGCAGGAGAATTAATATCCTTATCTTTTTCCCGATATTAAACTACACACACACAATGGAAATGTTATCACACAGTTGCTGTACTATATTCGTAAACCTTTTTGTACTTTTTGGGTATCACAAATGATATTATAATTTCTTTATTTTCTGTATTTGTGGTATAAAATAATCTTAGGACAATTTTTGTTTTGAACTTTTAGTTTGAAAATAGTATGATATTGGCACTCAAACTGCTGTGGTTGCTAGGCAAACAGCTGATGGTGAAGAGTTGCAAATGATCAGGGTTGCTTTGAGTAGTAGTTGTATTTTTTTAAGTTGTAGTTTAAGTAAGTAGAAATTAACATTGTTAATGATTTATATAAATATAAGTTTTTTGTAATTTATTTCGTTTAATGAGTCAGACTACCAATAGAAAAAGCTATTTCGATAAACTTTGAGATTTTCATGCACATATTTTCGTTCCATGCATGCAGTGATTGTTGGTCGGTAGATCTATGGGTTATAAATGTATATCATTTAAGATTTTTAGTTCCAATTTATTGATTCATAAATCAGATGCAGGCCTCGTCTACAACCGACCAAATATAAATAATCCTGAAATATTATATAATAGAGTATCTCTATTTTCGTCACCTATTTGTAGTTTCGCCAAACAAATATAATGTAACCGCAATCCACGAATTTCGTTTTATATTTAGAATCTTGGATTTGAATATTTCGCCAGCTTTTGTTTGAAAACTTGACGGCAAGTTAAAAAGCGAATTATTTACAAAAATTATAGCAATATAAAACGACAACGAAGCCACAGTGCTAATAAAAAAAACTAAGGTGAGACATTAGTTGTTGTTGCTAGCCATTTGGCAAATAAAGTTATGACGATTTATATATTACAAAAAATTGTCGAAGCAAGTCGTTTTTTGGAAATTCTTTCGCTGAGACTTCGATTTAGATTTTCTGACATTTGATTAAAAACATTTCGCCTGAATGCAATATGTTTTCTAATAAAATCGCTGCCTAAATGATTCAAAGTAAGGCCACAAAAATTTTTGAAATTTTTGAACATTCGAAAAATGATTTTCCGTCAAAATTTTTAAAATGATATTTATTCATTTTTTGTATAATTTTCAGTCAAATCGATATTATTGATTTGTTAAAAAATAAAAAAAAAAACAATAATAATCGCATAGCTTTTTTCGTTTACGTTCTCTGAAAAACCGGTTTTTAGTTCACAATCTTTTACATCTCCATAGGAAACACAGTTAAGGATGCGGAAGTCGTACAAAGTTTGTGTTGTATTGCTGATTATATTACCTAGCACATTATAAAAATGTTTATAAAATTATTGTTGAATGAAAACAGTGTACTGTTATCTTCCTAGCCGTGAAATTCACTATTATAAGAACACAAACAGTTCCGGTGTGAAAATACAAATCTTCGTTGGACAGTGGCAAGGAAATCGATTTTTCCAACCACACCAACACAGTTTTGTTAAACACAACCAGGTGGGGTAGCAAGTGATGTTACTCTGTATATCTCCTTAGTTGGTATACATTCCGAGCTCAATCTACATATTTTGTAAAAACAATTGGGATATAATGTGTCTTTATTACTGCGTCATCATTGGAGTCCATCGCATTTACATATAGCCTAATAGACGTAAATTACATTAAATTATCAAAAAACAACGATGCCAGAAAATTTGGAGCTCCATCAATTCGTCGATGGTATTCGTCATAGCGAAACCTCACACAAGCTCCTCACACGGTTTAAAGCAACGCTTAATTGCCCGTACTTGGGTATAATATTAGCTACGCTCTCCTCGCTTTTCTTCTCGCTATGTTCAGTTATAGTTAAAGGACTAGTGGATATTAATCCAATGGAGCTCGCTTCATTTCGGTAAGTAGGAATGTGTTTTATGAAAACGTTACAATTATTATGTTAACTTTTACTTGATCGTTCAACAGCTTTGTTGGCGTTTTGCTGCCTGCTATACCCATTGTCATCTACAATCGCCAACCGGTGTTTCCAGAGGGCAAACGTGTAATCCTGCTGTTACGATGCTTTTTGGGTACCACTGGTTTAATGCTAAGCTTCTATGCATTTCGTCATATGCCACTCGCCGATGCAAGTGTTATAATATTTTCGACGCCAGTATTTGTCGCCATTTTCGCACGAGTCTTTCTCAAGGAGCAGTGTAGTCTCTTTAATATTGTTACTATTGTACTGACTTTGGTCGGTGTGGTCTTAATAACTCGACCACCTTTAGTTTTTGGCGATGCCGCGCCTTCGATGGAGACTGAACGTTTTTCCGGGAAAACCTATGATATTTGGGGTCCCGTTGCTGCCATCTCATCCACATTATTCGGTGCCAATGTATACATATTACTGCGAGCTCTTAAAGGTCTGCATTTCTCTGTTATAATGACGAACTTTGGTGCCTTTGCACTAGTCTATACATTCATTGTGTGCCGTTCGATTGGCGCTCTGTGTTGGCCAGCATGTGGTCATGATCGATGGCTGGTTGTGGTACTCGGTATATTCAGCTTTTTAGGACAAATATTACTCACGCTATCGCTGCAAATGGAGCAAGCCGGTCCAGTGGCTATTGCACGGTGTGCAGATATTGTCTTCGCATTTATATGGCAAATATTGTTCTTTGGGGAAACGCCCACTGGTTTCTCGCTTTTGGGCGCGCTACTGGTGGTAAGCTCAGTTACATTGACAGCTCTGAAAAAATGGGCAATGTCACTGCCCCGTGAATCTAGCGCTAGAAAACGTCTCCGATATTTATTACTGGATTAATACTAAAAAAAAAACTAAAAAAAAAATAAAAAAAAAACTAAAAAAAATAAACAAACTAAAAGCTAAACTCAACAGACTTTATCATAGATTATTCGAATATACGACGTTAATATTGGAAGCGCATTGTGGTTTCTCTCATAGGATGATAATTATAGTATCGCATCTCCGTAAATAATATATTCAACATAAATATTAAGAAAAAATAACGAATCAAACCAAAAAACTAAACCAAAAAATTACCATTACATTGTACTTAATTCAAATGAGGCTGGCATTTAAATACATACTTAGATAAATACGTAATAAGTCAAACCAAAAAAATGTGTTTAAAAAAATAATTAACTTAAATAATGCGTAATTACTCGATTTAATAAACTTAATGTAGAAAAAGGCATATAAATGTATAAATACATACAATTCGCTAATTAAATGGAAAAAAGCACTCATATTTAGATTAAAAAAAAGTCTTGAGTATAAATAAACAGTAATTGGTTTTAAAAGTATTTTCAAATATGAAATAAGGACATTTGTATTTGAGCTGTTGCTTTAGATTTCTATACGAAAATACCTTTACGGGCTTTTCAGTGTTCAATTAACGAATTGTATGTATGTACGTGTGTAAAAATATTGTAATTACTGTATTTTTTTTAAATAGCTATAAAATTCCATGAAAAATGTTCAATATCTTTTATGGAATTCATATTTTGTTGAGTGTTTAAGTGAAGGACTTAAATATGAAAAGAAACTTTGTTGATAAATAAATGTTAGTCTAGATTCATGCTAAATAAATTAATATTCTATTTTTATTTACATTATTTATCATTTCGACTACAAAATCTAAAAAAGGTTTGTAGAATTGTTGTACATTTTGTTAATTGTTATTATGATTTATTTTTATAAGAAATAAAAAAATTAAATTAAAATTACTTAGATAAATAAATTTAATGCTTAACTGTTTTTAATTTTCCAACTTAAATTCCCGAAGTTATGAGCTGTTAAATAATACTAAACGTTTGTTGTTGTTGTTGTTTTTTTTGGAGCCGCAAATTATTCCCAGAATTGATTTTCGGGGAATATTGCGGTAGTGAGAGTCCTTGGCCGGATAAAAGTCCAGTGCGTTCTGGTTTAAAGACCCGTCTGTCGCGGGAACTATTAGATTTTAGTCGTGTCTTACGACAGGCATGTCTTATCACGGCTTAGTTCTTGAACCCCAAACCCGTAGGGGCAAATTGATTGCTTTTATCCAGTGGCTTTCAAATATTTGAAGTTGTCCGATCATATGATTACTGGTTCTTCCTCCCATTTCAACAAATTTCTAGAACAAATGCTATTTACCTTCTTATTCTAAAAAATCTTACAAATACCTAAAGTAAACGAACACACCTAATTTGCCTCGAATTGTCAAAAGTGATAAATGATAAGACGATTTGCCTTGTATTGTTCATTTACATTCTGGAAAACTCAAAAATACTCAAAATTATACACTATACAAAATTGCCATGTCTGATTTACAAAAGCGCTTTCAAATCACTGCCAAATCTGCATTATTGGCTACTGCCGGCATTGGATTGCTGTGTGTTGTGGTGCGTCAAAGAGCTCGTTTGCTATCGCTATTTCGCAACTATAGAAATCCACTGGACAGAAAGCATATAACCGTTATTGAAACGCTAGACGAATGTCAAAATGTTTTGGATACATTAAAGCGGTAAAAACTATGTGAATTTATGAAATTTATAATTGTTTTACACAACAAATATGTACGTGCTATCTTTCAGTCACTGCCACGAATACAATGTGCTTGGTTTTGATTGTGAGTGGGTGACAGTAGGTGGCAAGCGGCGTCCTGTAGCGTTACTTCAATTATCATCACAGAAAGGTCTTTGTGCACTCTTTCGACTGTGCCATTTAAAGCAAATTCCAAAAGATCTGCGTGATATACTCGAAGACGACAAAGTTATTAAAGTGGGAGTTGCACCACAGGATGATGCTTACAAACTGTCTTTCGATTATGGCGTCGGGGTAGCAAGTACATTAGACTTGAGATGTTTGGCTGCGCTTGTGGATGAAAAACCAGAGGGTTTAGCTAAAATGGCAAAGTCCTTGCTAAATGTGGAATTGGATAAAAACTGGCGTCTATCCTGCTCGGATTGGGAGGCTAAAGTTCTGCGAGAAAAACAATTGGAATATGCAGCTAACGATTCTTTAGTGGCAGTGAAAATATTTGAAAAACTTGTAAATAAAATAGAGCCAAAGTAAGTTCACCAAATTTTATATTTATACAATAAGAGTATCTTATAAAACAAATACATCCAACCTAGGCCCTTTTGGAATATGACTAGATTAAATATGTCAAAAATTCAAGAGCGTTTAGAACCACTTTTTGATATTCGTTTTAAGGAAGGAATGTCAACTAATTTCAAGACGGCTGGGAAAGTAAAAGGTCTTACATCCGCGGGAAAGAAGGCAAAACAAAAGCCCATGCAAACACGCAGTATAAGCACACGTTCAAAGGCCTTGTATGATAACTGCATTTTGCAAGCACCGGATGGTGAGTTGCTTTGCACAATTGATGCCAAGAAAGCACAATGGTATGTTGATCAGAGTCTGGGGGAAATCATAACTCAGACGCCGTTAACAGTGCGTTTAAATTTCGAACCTGCGGGACGTGCGGTCGGTGAAGTAGGACGATATTATCAGACACCAAAAGAGAACCGATGTGTAGTTTGTGGTCGGGAAGATCCGCTGTCTCGCAAAAATGTGGTGCCTCGTGAATACAGAAAACACTTTCCAGGTAAAAACAATATTTTACTCAAAGAAAACATTTCAGAGCTGTGAAGTGGGTTTACTAATACTAACATTTTTGCTTTACCAAAAGAAGAATTTTGTGACAATTTAATGGCATTTCATTGGATATTTTAGTGAAGTAATAATGCATTAATGCAGCTCACAGCTCTGTTACATACATACTTACGTACTAATCCAAGATAATAATTCAACAAAACTGACATGAATCTATGTACACATTTTAATTTTAGTTGTTATGAAATCGCACACGTCTCATGATGTACTCCTACTATGCCCAAAATGTCATCAGCTTAGTAACATTTGTGACCTAAAATTGCGTATGAAATTAGCAGAACAATGCGATGCACCATTTTGCAATGCAGAGGTGTCCATGAAATATATTGAATTACCTGAGCTTAAGTAAATATTTAATAAATTGTTCATATAAACAATTTTTATATATATTTCTTACAATAATAATAGGCAAGTAAAATCGGCTGCTCGTGCTTTATCGCAAAATCAAAACGAAATACCTGCCGAGCGTCGTGAAGAATTAATGCAAATTTTAGTAAATTACTTCAAACAAGAGGATTTACCAAGGAAGTTAATTGAGCAGGCAGCTAACATTGATACAACGTAATAATGCGCTACAAATCCGCTGTTGAAGTGAACCATGATAAATGTGTTTTATTTTCTTTTCTCTTAGTCGGAGCAATGAAAATTATTGCCTTCATGGTGAGAAAGTTGTAAACATGTTTCAACTTGAATTTGGCGGTCTCTGCGAATTGGAAAAGTTATGGCGACAACATTTCCTGATTACAATGAAGCCTAAATATCTACCAGAACTGTGGAATGTCAATCACAATGCCAACAGGTATTTCATCAATATTACAAACTATTAACAAACGAAATAAAGTGAGAAAAAGTTCAACATTTTTTTTATAGATTGGGAATAAGAGCAAGAGAAGGACGTATTAGCAACGAAGATTTGATTGTTGCAGGTTTGGAGTTTTATAATTAGCTTGATACTAAAAAGTGTGGATATATTTTAGCAATATTTAAAAAAAAAAAACGTTTGTATTTACTTCTAATAACTAAACTAAAATACCTGGTGCTCAAAGTTATTATATATGCATTTTTTTATTTCAATATTTTTATCTAGGCTTTTTTAATTTTTCAAATAATTTTATAAAAACGACACTGACTGCCTTATGTATAGCGAAGCACTTAGCAGTTATATTAATAGGATAATGTATAAATCACAATTTCTACTTATATGTACTCGTATTAGTGAAGAGGACTTTACAAAACATACTGGCGATATGAGCGGCGACTTGGAAACAATTTAAATTGTGTGAAGTAATTATAAAAGCAAGTACATGTATATATGCTTTCATAGCGTGAATCAATTAAAAATTATTAAGAGTATATAATCAATGACATTTAAATACTTTGAATAGCTTTATGTTAGGTATGTATAAAGTCAAACTCAGCACTGCCTCTTATATGTACAAATCATATTTTTTATTTTTTTATTTTTTGGGCTTGTACTTCCATGCCACGTTCGATGAAAGTTTCTGAATAGTAGCATTTCTACTAGATAAATTCGATACCCTCGTATTTCAAATCAGTTTCGATGCGCTGCTCTGCCAATATGGTGTGACCTTCAATATCAAACGCCGTTATGAATGTGGACGTCTTGCCGTCCAATTCTTCGGTTTTAATAGCGATTATTATCTTATCATCGGTATGTGGTATGAATTTGAAACTAGAGAATCCGTGTGTAGGTTTCGAGTTTAAGGGATCTAGCGTAACAGTATTGACATTTGTAAAACGCTCATCTGCCGATATGAGCAAGTTACAGCCCATATGCTCATCACGTGTCTCATTGTATCTGGAAATGTAATGATGGATTTAGTGATATAAATAACTTTCATATTTATAATATTATTACTTTTCTCTTGAACACCGTCTTGGAAGGAAGTACCATCTGTTTTGAGATGATGACCATACACCTGTCTCGTGTATCATATAACCCGGCCAAGTTATCTGCATTGCTTCTTGTCGTAAATATTTGAAATTATATGACCAGTTTAATGAACGCTTTTCACCGTTGGGAGATATAACCTTAACGTACATTGGATTTTCGTTTTCGAATTCACCAGCACTCGTTGTCCATTCTTTGCCCATCGAACCAACGTATAATTGTTGATCTTTTACTGTTGCCCACTCCGCTTTGAATCCTTTGGCGCTGTGGTCATTACCATCAAGTAATATAATCCATGGTATTGGTTTATCATTTGTGATATCATATATTAAACCAGTTCTATCATCAAAACTTAATAATTTGCCATTGAACGTTACGAGTTCTGATAATTCCATGCCCCGTCCTTTTAAAGAAAATCCCGATTCCAGTACCACCGGTTCACCACTGTCCCATTTTATACTAATTTCCGGTTTTGATCTACGATATGTCAAATATCCTTTTTTTAAATGGCTCTGCCAAACAGTACTGCCATCCTTTTTTACCACTTTCGAGTTCGTGTCCAGATCGGCTACTATGGCAATTCGATATGTAATCTCGTTGGCATGCCCTATAATTGGAGCTGTGAGTGGATACTTAGCATTGTAGATTGAGGCATCCCCATTATAGGGCAGGTTAGTAGCGGAGCTACTGTGTTGTGTAGAGCTACTATAGCTTCTTACCCAGGCTGCATCTGAAGAGGACTGCGAGCCCGCGCGTACGTAAACGAATAGGAAACAAAGTACAATTGCACATATGACAAGTAGAGCAAAGTGATAGTTAAAACGTAGGGTACGATTACCAATTCTGTAAGTGGGTGGCGTACGTAGCGCTGAACGCCAATCGCGTGTGTACATAACGGATCGAGAATGAGCTGCGTTTGAGTGTTGTGTTGAGCGCGGGGTGTTTTCGAGTTGACGAAACTCGTAAGAGTTGTTATGGATTGGCGTGGCCGTGCTGTGACTCGGGTATGAATGTGTGCTATCAGTACGTCCTAGGAAACTCATTTGGGCCCTCTGCTTTGCTTCTCCTACGTATTTACCTCGGAAATATCCATGTTACGCTATCCCAAAAGAGATATCCATCATTTATGCTATTTAAACAAACTAAATTAAGAGGACAGTGTTGATTATTCCAGCTTATGTGGCAACGAACTTTGATACTCTAATGATTAGTTTTGTTGATGCTGATGTGGCGGATAAAACACTGTCAATATTTGTAAACTATGTGTGTGTTAAACAGATTTGCGGCACTTAATAATTAATAACTCTAATGAACTTTTGATGTCAGCAAAGTAAATAAAAAATATGTCAATAGAAAATGTCAATGCTTTACTTTGAAAATTAATAAACAGCTGTTTGATATTAACACAGGTTGTCAAACTGTCGTAATTAGAGTTGTTTTTTGATTTTTCGAATATTTTAGATTTTATGCGAACGTCGTGTAAATGAAAAGTTACCACAGCGCTCTTACTGTCGTTGGTACCGTAGAAACTAGCGGTGATTTGATATTATTAAAAAAAACTCTCTCAGCTGATTGCTCGCTGTAGCAAAGGGCTACCAGCAGAGTCTCTCTTCCATCTTATGAGAATTCGTATTGACGAAATTTCTTAATGCAAATTAAGTAAAAAAAGAGTATCAAATCGTAATTAGTTATTTATTACAGTATAAAAAATTCTATTGGTGTTAATAATACTCGGACATTTAAATTATGAAGTTTATTGCCAAAAAAATCGTAAAAAATCACACTGGTGGCGGTTAATATATCGTCCGTTGGGAACTACGTCGATAACTTGTGGTATCACTGTTCTAGTCCAGTTGTACGGCTGGGAGGTATGTAAAACGGCTATTGGGGTAAGATTTCTTGAAATAAAATTGAAATTTAAAAAGTGCTGGCAGCTTCAAGACACCGATTGGATTTTCGAATAACGTTGTTCGAAATTTTGACAGATGTTTCGAAATATTTCTTTTCAAGTTTTCTCTCGCAGCAAAAACAACACGTGTGTACGCAATAATTAAATTTGTTGAATTTCTTTGCAATTTTGTCAAGATTCAGCAAAAATGCGTATAGAAACGTGTTACTTTTGTTCCAGCAAAATTTACCCTGGACACGGGATACAATTTGTGCGAAATGATTGCAAAGTAAGTCTTTTCCGGTTATTGTTTTCGTTTTGAGCACATCACATTGCGTTTTGGCAAAGAAGAGTTAGCCCTCACTAATTTATAAATTGTATAATAAACAGTTTTAATTTATATTTATATGAATTTATCTTTGCAGATATTCAGATTTTGTCGAAGCAAATGTCATAGAGCGTTCAAACGGAAGAAGAACCCACGTAAAGTGCGCTGGACCAAAGCCTGCCGTAAGGCAGCAGGTAAAGAGCTCGCGATTGACCCCAGCTTTGAATTCGAGAAGCGCCGCAATGTACCAGTTAAATACAGCCGTGAAGCTTGGCAGAAGACACTCGACGCCATTAAGAAAGTTACTGAAATCAAGGAACGCCGCCAGGATAACTTTGTAATGCAGCGTTTGCGTAAGGGACGAGAAGTGGAAATACAGATGGACGTGAAGGATGTGCAACGCAATATTTCATTAATTCGGTCGCCTGCCGCTGGCCTTAAAGAGCGTCGCGCCAAGGAGGAAGAGCAAGAGGCTGCACTTATGGATGAAGATCTTGCCGAAGAAGAAATCAGTTATGTTGATGCACGCGAACTGGAAAAGAAACTGGAAGAAGGCGCAACTATGGAGGATATTGAGATGATGAAAGCATAAATTGGGGGTTTATGAACGTTGCGGGGGTCTAGTTATAAGTTGTACTTTACATATGGGTTTTTAAAAAATGTTTATATTTATAAAAAACTTATGACACAAAAAAGTGATTTTATTCTTGACACCGATTACTGTAGGTCGTGCGTCCTTTATGCAATCTTAGTTAATCCATACAATTGAGAAATTACTTTTCACAATGAACAACACATTCATTCCACCCCTTAATGGCACGTCATAGCGACACAGTCTCTATGCCGCCACCGACCCGATAAAGAAAGCGAAATGTTGTAATTGGATTATAACAATTTTCCCCCTCTCAACTACTTTGCATATCCAGCGGTGCTCATAGTCATTGTCTTGACTTGTACTTGATGTATTTTCTGTTAGTTATAATGTAGAATTTGGTGGGAATAGAAAAATAAAATGCATTTTCAGCGTATGTATAGAAAATGTGTTGTTTTTACCCAAATATTTCTATTAATTATTATTTATACATTTGTTTAAAGAAATATTATCGCTTGGTGCTATTATCATTGCCTTATTGGCATTTTTGTGGTTTGTATTTGTACCGTTATTTGGCGAGAGTACACCGAACGAGCTCACTCCACAAGCAGGCTATGCTTTCGATTATGTTGTGGGTGAGTGTTAGAGCACAGTTCTCGTGGCAGTGCATGAAAGTGAGGAAACTACTATAAATTCATTTTAGTTGGTGCTGGTACTGCGGGTTCGGTGGTGGCATCACTGCTCACCAAGCACAGTCCTAGCTCATCAGTGCTGCTCATTGAAGCTGGTGAGTCTTTTGGTGTGCTTAGTAAAATTCCTCTACTGGCAACCTTTCAGCAAAAAGGACTCAACGATTGGGGATTTCTTTCCGAGCCACAAGTTTATTCCTCACGTGGCCTTGTAGAACAGGTAACGTAGCAAATAGGATTCGTGAATGTGTAACATTTTTGTTGTATGTTATAGCGTCAGTACTTGCCACGCGGTAAGGGACTAGGTGGTTCCTCTATGTTAAATTACATGCTCCATTTCGATGGCGAACCGCGTGATTTTGAAAGATGGGCGACCAGACATAATCTTAGCGATTGGCGTTGGAAGGATATACGGCCCTTTCTTACCGCCGTTCGCACACAAACTCATTCATTGCTGGAAATATCACCGGACTATTCGAAAATAACAGAGGCATTGCACAAAACGAGAAAAGAATTTTCGAAAAGAAATTGGCGATTTCGTCGTGCCAGATATACTATTAAAAATGGACTACGTTACAATGTGTACCATCAGTTCTTGCAGCCGGCTTTGAAACGACGAAATCTTTACACACTCACCAACGCCTATCTAAAACGTTTGAATCTGGAATATATTGACGAGGAACGGAGTGAGGTCAAGACTATTTTGGTTGGCGTAATGGACACGAAAAACCGCGAAGAATATGTCTTTAGTGTAGATGTGCGCTGTGAGGTAATACTTAGCGCAGGCGCTTACCAATCACCACAGATACTGTTGGCTTCCGGTATTGGTGATGCATCACTTTTTGAAGAACTAGACATAAGACAGCAGCTGCAGCTACCATTGGTGGGGGAAAACCTACATGATCACCTAAATTTGCCACTTTTCGTGTCTATCGACACCGTCGGCCCAACATTGAATCAACGCGCTCTACTCAATCCAATACAAATTTTGAATTATTTGGTTAACGGCTACGGACACTTAGGTAATTTCGGTGTTCTGGGCCACATTGATTCCAGCTATGAGGAAAGTTTTGGTTTGACCTTCTTCGGCGTTGGCGCTGTGGACGAAAGCGCTTTAATGTCCATTTCCAACTTCAATCGAGAATATTTCCGTGCGCTGTTTCCACGTTATCACAACAGTACGCAGGAGGGCTTTGTACTGATATCAACGTGCCTGCAGCCTAAATCTCGTGGCACTGTTAGCATTGGCGTGCCGAACACTCGCTGGAAACCGATTATAGATCCGAATTATTTGCGTGAAGCCAGCGATGTAGACTGCACAATCCGTGCTATACGTGCCGCCGTCGAGGTTGTGAAATCCGAAAGTTTTGCCGCACTACATCCGCGCATACACTGGCCAAAAATTCCGGAATGTAAAAAGTATGGCCCCACTGAGAGAGATTTCGTCGATAATATGCCTAACGACAGGTATTTGGAATGCGTATTAAGGTGGGTGCGACACCAGTGGGGCTGAATGAAAGAAAGATATTACATTTGTTTTGTTGCTCCTAACAGATACGTAGGGCTGGGTTCACATCATCCGGGTGGAACTTGTGTTACGGGCACAGCTGCAAACAACAGCGTCGTGAATTCACAATTCAAGTGGGTCTCGTAATTATAAATGAAATATTTGAATTAACAATTTTTTTCTTCATAATTTTGCCATAAAATATTACTTTAGGGTGCATGGCGTTGATAATCTACGTATAATAGATGCAAGTGTCTTACCGACACCGATTTCTGGAAATCCCAACTCGGTTATTATTGGCATGGCCATTCGAGGAGCCACGATGATATTGCAGAGAGAAAAATTAAAAAAGAAAAAATAATAAAACAAATGTAGGTGGGAGTGTGTGTATATACGTAGATACCTTAGAGCGCTTCAAAGGACAGTTAGTAATTCAAAAAACAATTTTTTCAAGAAACTTCTGACAAAAGTTACGAATTTGAGTCCAAAAAATGTAGTATTTTTTTTTTTAAATTATTATTCAGTGTGTGACAAAAAAAAAGAGCCACCCTAATCTAGCTTTTGAATATAGTAGAAAAAATTGTAAACATAAATGTGTGTTAAAAAAAGAAACAATAAAACCCTGCACTAATGTGGGATAAATTGAAAAAAATTATTTTGTAATCTATTTGTAAGAAACATGTATTTATATACATATATATGTATGTATGTAAGTATGTAAATATAAGAATTAAGAGCGTTAACGGCAATACGCATACATACATACAATTTTCAAGTTCATTATCAACGACGTCCATTGCATCGCATGCATCGATTTATATATGAACATATGTACATGCATATGTATGTATGTATGCATGCAAGGCTTCGCTGTGCGGCGAAAGATTGAACAAGTGGTGTCCCCTTCCCACTGTTGTTTAACTTTTACATTTCGAAACTCCCTCCTCCACCGAAAGGGCTTTCTCCGATCTCATAGGCCAACGATTTCTCGATATTGATGTCTGGGCGGGGGATATTCAAGACTTATGTTCGAAAGTGAACTGCTTTGTCGACGACTTTCCTTTTACCACCCTTCTTCGATGGTGTAAAAATTCCAACTATAACTGCTCAAAGTTACTGAGAGTCACATTCGACAGCCTGCACTCTTTCGCTCCACAAACGACTGCAATTGCCATAAAACTTCAGAGCCGCGAAAAAATACTCAAAGCCTCAGCGTGCAGCAACTGGGAAAAAGATAAAGAAACATTGTTGGCAAACTACAAAGTAATTGGTCGGCCGGTCGTAAACTATGGTGCACCGAGGAAAAGCAGTTGAAAAAATTACAAAGCTGCCAAAACACCGCGCTCCGGACCGTGACTGGAAACCTTCTGAATTCGCCAGAGTACAACAGAGCACAAAGAAGCATCTATGCTGCGAGTTAAGGAGCATAATGTTTTGCTGTGCTGTGCAGGAAAATTTCTGTTGCAGACGAAGAGTTAGAGCGTGTTCTGGATATTGTGTAGATCCAGACCATATCTTTGTATGCTACTAAAACGGACTCATTTGACTCCCCTCTTCCTCTGGTACGCATCTTTTGAAAAAGCTCGTTTCCTGGACCTCCCGTTAGATGATCGAAGCGGACTTGACGAACCACTACAACAACAAAACAATTCGTTGTTGCACGTCTCACTGAGAAGAGCAGTCTTCTTGTTAATCAAAGCAAAAATCCATCTTTGTACCGAATTTCAAGTAAATCGAAGCATAAATAAGATCTTTTAGAATAAGCCTGTCCCTGGTCCACATCTCGGAGAGAAGAGTAGTCTTCCTGTTAATCTATGCAAAAAGTCTCCTTAGCTTTCAAACAAATTGAATGCAATCGTAGCCTGTTAATCAAAACCAGATTGCAATTTCCGTAAAAAAAAAATATTCTTAAAAAAAATAATTTTACTCGCCTTGAGGTGGAACGATGAAGTTCAAGAACATGGAAAAAAACTTTCATTTATTCAAGAAACAATTTTATTACTTAAACAAATCTCAACGAATTAGAATCAATCAACAAATTAACGTTGCGCGCACACGTTTTGCAACAACAACAAGGTGGCTTGTTGTCAGCTTAAAATAATACAAGGATGGCGCAATACTGAATTGAACAGGAAAAATAAAAAAAAATCGACGTTGAAAAATGCAAAAACTAGTGCCAACGCACTACCGACTGCGGAAAGTTATTAACCCAAATTAATCCTCTTTCTTTTTAGACCAATCACAGCCGATAGCCCTTTCTGCAAGAACACTTAAACCGCTTCATATAACTTCCCCTTCCCTCAGCTCCACACCTGTCAAAAGAACTCGTTTCCTGGATCTCCCATTAGATGAGCTTAATGACTTTGACTAGTCCCGTCTGCTACTAAGCGGATCTCGAGAGGCGCAAAACAATGTCGAAAGCAGAGCTTATACGTTTAGGGTTGACGAGCTGGAGGAGAGAAATCGACTGTCTATTCGGCAACATTGCGATCGACCACAACACCTGCAGATAGTGATATATAATTGGCGCTTTGGAGCCGCTGAAAAGATTTTTCGGCCGAGCTCCTCCTCCAATTTGTGGTTTTTGCATCTTGATGTGTTTCCAACAAATTTAGGGACTTACAGTTTATACTAAGCCGCCTCTAAGTGGCTGAAGATTTTTTTGTGAGGAGCCTTTATTTTTTGTCCGAAATACACTCGGATGGGTGGATATTCCCTGCTGAGGAACGAACGCAATTAGGAAATTTCACAAAATTTTTTATCTAATTCATTTACCGATATTTGAAGGGAGATGAAAGACTTACTAGATCCAATCAAGAATTTCACCGCGGTAAGGCATGTTGTTAAAAGAGGCGTCTAAAATCCAAAAGTTCCCGGCACAGTCGGATTTCTATCCGGCAAAGCACTGTCATTACCGCAACATTCTCAAAATCTATATTGTGGAATATTTTTGTAACTGCAATAACAAAAACCACACTTACTAAAGGTTACTAGGACAGAAAATACTCATATAGGAACCGAGCCAGCGCATACTGAGCATATGTATATATGTGGTGAATCACAGACGAGGTGAATATATCAGCTTCTTCACAGAATGAGGACGATCGCCGATTGGCATTTTGTTTTCCTGCTAACCGAGGTTAGGTCACCGAAAAGTGACAATTCTTGGCCGGATAAAACTCCGGAGCTTAGAACGGTTGTTGTGAGAGATGCCTCTTTGTGTGCCCACTTAAACCAAGCCACCTAACACCCCTCTCTGTCTGGTTGGATACCCGTTTCCTGGACCTAGCGTTACATGACCACAGTGACTTAGATTGATTTTTGTCTGCTACTAAGCGGGGTTTGATATCATCTACAACAACAACATCATTAAAACTTAGTAAATGTGCTCTTTCTTCCATCCACATGAATTGCAAATAAGTTTTTGTACAACAAACATTAATTGGATAAATACAAAATGGTCCAGACGACCAAAGGTGGTTGACAGTGAAATTGATTTTAAAGTGGTGACCTTATTTATAGAACAAGCCGTGTACAATAGCAATGAACTAATGAAATGCGGTCGGTCACATTAACAGGTAATGAGTCACTTAGAGCGGGTTGATTGTTGCTTTGCTTGTATATGATTTTGAGATTGCGCTCGGAGTGGACTAGTTATTCATTTTTTCTGATTAGCCCATGCCAACTTGTGAGGATTTCTGTCAAGCGTCATTAAGACGACATGTCAGTCGCGACGTTTGGTGCGAATCAGAGACCCCAAGTCTATTCAGGTTATTCTATGCTGAACTTTCCAAAGGGAGCCTTTCTCTTTTCCGTTTTTACAGCGGAGTACCGCATCGAATACTTTCAAAGCTGGAGTGCTTTCATCCATCTGGGCAACACGACTTAGACACCGTGCAAATGTCTCTTTATATCTCTTACAGCTTACTGCTTTAGCTTTTAGCGTGATTTTAGAGTTTGATCTTCTGGTAATTTTGAATTGAACTCAAGGCTAACAATGGCTTCAACGTTGTGATTGTCAACATTGCCGCCGGAGAAAAGACGCGGATCCCGGACCTAACACTTTATTTGAAGACCAGAGATATTTCATCTTCCTTATGCAAGCAGTTAAAAACAGAACTAATGGTGGGCTTGCAATAAATTAAGGAAATCACACCTTCTCGATACCGGGGGAGCTTGTGGTGTTCAGCTAATATCCCTATAAGTTTTGCGCGGACACCAAATGCAGACATCGCCCTTGTAAAATATCTGGTCAATTTGTACATTTGCCAGATCTGAAGCCGCACTGATAAGTTGCAAACAGTTCTTTGGGTAAAATGCGCTTAGGTTCCAATTATCAGATGTGCAAGCCACCAAGCAAATTTTCCAAAGAAGCTGATGATATCAGGATATCTCTGCCGTTTAACCAATGGTGCGTCTGTTCCGTCGTTATCGATTGGAGACTCTGGCTTGCCATCTCCAGGTGTTTCACTTTATATACTTGAATATCAGTTGCTGGAGCACCTTTTAGTGAAATGCCACAATTTTTTATAGAATTTTCGAGCTGTCGCCCAGCTTCCCGACCACTTACTGCCGTATTTTAGCCCCTCTCTCTCGATCTGTCGCAAAGGCTTCTCGCTTCCCTTTTTAACTCTTAATAGCTTGCATACAACGCTCGCCACGGTCGAGCGTAACGTTATTTCTATCCACAACGGCGAGATAATCATATCAACTTTTCTTTCGACCTCTTAAAAACCACTAGTTTCGCTACAGCTGTACGTAGATGCAACCGTCTCACAATATCCGTATTCCTAGTTGTTGATGAGTGTTCTCAGAGAGCAATGATTTAAACTACTCAACGTCGAGCCTTCCAAGAGTTGGTGGGCGAGCACTCCCTGCTGTACGGCAACTTAGCTGGGACAAGATAAGGATTCATATCGATATTCGGACCTCATAGCGTAAGCACACTTTACAACATAGTCGATTTGGTTGCAAACTCCAAAGACACTTATGTAGCTAGATGAATTCTCTGGTGCTACAGACAACGATATTTCCAGCATCGGCGAGATCGATCAGTTGTGTCTCGGAAATAATCGCTAAGCATCCGGCTGCGTAAAAATAACCATATGAACAATTTAGGACATTTTGCATTCCACCAACCCATATTCGCTTCGTATATTTTTTGAACCACCCCGGCGCACTTAAACACCGTTAGACTCACGTATAAAAGTTTAGTATCTCATAGTTTATTTATAAGCAGAATGTTACATAGTGTTAGTAATAAACACATACATATATAAATGCATACATACATACATAGATACATACCTCCATACGTCACACTTTCGTGGGTCAACTCATATGAGAATTGCACCCATTCAATGGCGCGATTTGTTAGATATTGTGTGAGTTGGCGCCCCCAAACACCACAAATACGTACGAGTATATGTATTTGTTGTAGTGAGCATAGAATTTTTTTTTATTCAAAATTAGCTCGTAATATGTCAATGCAGAAGGGATTTATACAAATGATGGAGAATCTGCGCTTGGAAATCTCAGTTCGCGTTATAATTTCGAAAGGTGCAGACCAAGGCGGATTAGCGCGTTCGGATTTGAAGAATGAAGTGATAAATTGAATTGATGTTGCAACCCAAAGTTGAAGTGGATTCTAATTAAAAAATATTTAAAACTGAAAAAAGATTATTTTCACAACACCGAGTCGGACTACATCGAGTGGAAAATTAAAGAAAATTGCGGGAAAGCGAAATGACCGACATTGAAGAGATTATCGCCAAGCTGCAACGCTTTTCCTGGCCAGACTATGGCGTCTTCATTGCGATGTTCGTCATTTGCATTATGATTGGCATTTATTTCGGCTTCCTGAATCGCAGCCTCTCGGAGGCCGACTACCTCATGGGTGGCCGAAATATGCTCGTATTGCCCATTGCACTATCGTTGGTGGCGAGTTTCATTTCCGGTATTACTTTGCTCGGTCTACCGACGGAGGTCTATTCGTATGGCATACAATATTTATATGTCTCCTTGGGTGTTATGGCCATGGGCGTCGTAATGGGCGTATTTTATCTGCCCGTCTTTCATCAGTTGAATATCACATCGACTTATGAGGTGAGCCTGAGTTCTTTTGGACGTAATGTGATTATTAGAAAGTTTTTTTTGTTGTTTTTGTATTTGTGCGCTGTGTTGTGTTTGTAAAATGCAGCCTCTCGAGAGTGCGACAAATTCAATTCAATTAAACCACTTAATGCACATAATTTAATTTGGTGTGTGTGTGTGTGTGTGCGTCGCTTGAGTACGTACATATGTATATGTCTGCGCACATTAATTGAACTTTTGTCGTTTTATGAATGAAAATCATGAATGTTGGGAGTAAATATTTTAAATGTGCTGCGCATAGCACGTGTGCGTATACTTTTATATACAACTGTAGAGCAGCCACCTCATTGTTGAGATAAACAAAGGCACCGATTGGAGGGTCACGAAAAGTTTGCGTTTTAAAATTGTTATAAAAAATACGAGTAGACGTTCCATCTCGAGATCCCAATAGAAATTGCCCGCTTAAAGAATAGCAAATCAACTGGAGCCGAAGGTCTACCGGCTGAGTTGTTTACACATGGCAGTGGAGAGCTGACAAGGTGCTTGCATCAGCACCTTTGCAGGGTATGGTCGAGAGTATGTCGGACGATTGGAACCAAAGCGTGTCCTTTCCAATGCACAAAAAGAGCGACACCAACCACCGTAGATAAACCTACTTGTGATTATAAAGTTCTATCAAAAGCCCATCGCCGACAAACTGAACGGACCCTTTCATAAAACCTGGTAAATCAACTATTGGAAAACCCCGAGGAAAGAGAATCGACGCACATTACCTCTTCGTCGATTTCAAAGGAGCCTTCGACAGCATGAAACAGGGTGTTGCCTCTACGCAGCTGAATTTGGTATCCCCGCAAAACTTATACGGCTGTGTAAAGCTAAACCAAAAGCTTCATCCGAATCGAGAAGGACCTCTCCGATCCGCTTGATGTCAAACGAAGTTTCAGACAAGGTGACTGAGCTTAATCGGAAATCTATAGAATGTTCAATGCTTATCTTCCGCCTATTGAGCGAAGCGAATGATCATGAGCCTTCAGTTGAAATTGGGCCAAAAGTATACTTCATACTAAGGTCTTTAAGCAAAATCTGCGTAGATAATTATAGTGTTGGTTGGTTGGTTATTGGAAGGGGAAGGTTAAATATCTATTCGTGGGCAGCCACACTTATGGTTTTGCGTTCACTTTAATGCATTCTTTCTTAGTCTTTCCAAACATGGCCAAACAGCTCCGTAAGACTGGAGAGATCGCGGAAGACTTGACGGCTCAATCGGCAAGGGTAATATTTTTGCGTTTTTTCCTCCGCTGTGCCGGATCTACACTTTGTCGATTCTATCTTACGCTACCCGTATGTTGGAATTACCACAGAACCTTAAGTATTCCCCTATGTTCCAAAGGCGTTGAAAGATCTGAGGTAGTCAATAGTGACAGCCTCGCCAACGGTGCCAGTGCGAACCAGCTCATCTGTCTTTTTATTACCTTCGATATTCGTGTTACTTGGCTCCCAAGTGATTTTCTCTCTGATACCCCGCACGTTCTCAAACACTTGGACTTTGTTTTGACACATCCAGCCTTAATTTCCGCTTGGTTGTCTACAAGAAATCTGTTAGAATCTCGTGATATATCGATTTGGTGCCTTCAATGACGACCACAATCTCTGCTTGGAAGACAGACCTTGGTTAGTGGGGTGGTTAAAGAAAAGTCCTGCATCAGTACAGATGCTTATATCCAGTAGTTCGCACGCCTCTGACCTTTATTTATATGGTTTCATATGACTTTTTACTGCTGTTTTAAAAAATATCTATTTTTCAGTATCTGGAAATTCGTTTCGATCGTCGTCTACGCATGTACGGATCCGTAATGTTTGCGGTAATGAATGTAAGTCGATTCAGATATTTTCATAAAACCGTAACAAGATTTCAATTTTTGTAGGTCGCTTATCTGCCAATAGTGATCTATGTGCCCGCCTTGGCCTTCAATCAGGTAACAGGAGTTGCTGTACATACGATCACACCGATTGTGTGTATTATCTGCATCTTCTATACGAGTTTGGTGAGCTACACCGGGACTTTGAATTTATCATTTCTTTATGGTGAAAAGTAACCTTGGTTTTTATGTAGGGCGGCATCAGGGCAGTTGTCTGGACGGATGTTGTGCAAACAGTGTCCATGGTGGGCGCACTTATACTGGTGGCCGTCAAGGGTAGTCACGATATTGGTGGCGCTGGTGTTGTACTGCGAAATGCTTGGGAAACCGATCGCATTGAGGGTCCGGAGTGAGTAAATAAAAGAGGATTTACATTTCGAGTAAAATAAAATTTCTCCTCCGCAGTTTGAGCATCAATCCGACCGTGCGTCATACGCTTTGGTCACAGGTAATTGGCGGCGTGGTCTATTGGACCCAGACCAATGCCGTGTCACAGAATATGATACAGCGTTACTTGGCGTTGCCAACTTTGCGTGCCGCACGTATTGCGCTAGGTATATTTTGCCTTGGCGTATTGACCATGATGGCGCTTTGCGGTTACAATGGTCTGTTAATTTACGCCACCTACAAAAACTGTGATCCACTTACGACAAAGGTGTGAGATCGCAAAATGCAGATTCTATTGATAAAACGAAAACTGTTGAGTTTATTTCTTCACAGCTAGCCAAAGCACGTGATCAACTGTTGCCGCTTTTTGTGATGGACACACTGGGTGATTATCCCGGTCTGACAGGTCTTTTCATTGCTGGAGTCTTTAGCGCGGCATTGAGTTCGCTTTCCACTTGCTTGAATTCGATGTCCGCGGTGGTTTTGGAGGACTTTGTTAAACCCTTTGTGAAGCGACCATTGTCCGATTCGGCGATAAATTGGATTATGAGATCCGTGGTGGTGGGGATGGGCGTGCTGTGCGTCTGTTTGGTTTATGTAGTCGAACACATGGGCACGGTGTTGCAGTTGACTATGAGTCTGGAGGCAATTACCAATGGTCCACTCTTTGGTATCTTCAGTATTGGTATTTTCATGCCCTGGATTAGCGGTAATGTAAGTTGAAATATGATTTTTTTTTAATGAATATTCATTCCCCATTGTCTTTATTTAATACGCAGAGCGCTTTAACTGGCGGCGTTTTGGGTGTTATTGCTATGTCCTGGATAAGTCTGAAGGCTCAATGGGCTATAGCTTCTGGTGCCATCAAGTATCAGACAAAACACATCACAGTTGACCATTGCGATTACCGATTTGATCATTCGAATTTGCCGCTGAGCGCAGCCAATATGACAGATCTTAATGCGGCAGCAGAGTAAGTTTATGTGCAAATAGTACTTCGGACGAAGCGTAAAAGGACACAAATTATAATTTTAAGATTTTACCCCGATGATATTGCCCTAACAGCGACGGGCAAGCACCCGCGAATCTTAAGTGATTCACTCCTAAAAGCTCTGAACATAGTAATAAGCTGGTGCTGGGTATATGTCCTAGATGTCAATCCCGTGGAAGTTCAAATGATACCCAATCTAAAGGACAAGAAAATCACTCTCTCGATCGAAATCAAATATCTCCGTACAATCCTAGATAGCTCATATCAGTGACCGAAACACGGTGGAAAGGTCGAGTAAAGGTACCACAGCACTCTACGGATGCAAAGCGGCTATTGGCAAAGGATAGGGCTTAAAACGGTTTATTGTTCACGGGATTTATACAGCGGTAGTCAAACCCATTTTATTCCACGGGGTCGCTGTGTATTGGCCAGCACTCGAAAAACCCCATTTCAGGAGCAAACTGGACAGAGTTCAGCGGCCGGTAGATATTGTCATTATGAGAGTTCTACAGCCGACTCAATAAGAAGTTCTGGAAATTCTTCTAAATTTTCTTCCTTTTTTCTTTTGGACTTCACGGTAGAAGAATGTGATAATTTGCCAATGATTTTCGTCGTAGCTGCAGGGACGGAGAAGAGGAAGAGTCTGTCCAGCACTAAATCTGCCACTGTCAAGCCCTAAGCATGATACGATATAAATACCTAGGACAGTACTTCTTGGACTGACTGGCTGATGTAGCAAGCACTGGTATAGATATTATCGCTTCGCTCAAAAGGTACACGAAATAGTACGTTCGTGGTACATCTGAGAAGGTGGCAAGTACTCCACAACGTGTCTACAAACCTAAGTGCGGTGATTGCTCTGATCAACTCAACTCAGTACAAACAAAAAATACTTTTCAGTTAGAATTTCGTAAAGTACAATCTCGTTAATTGGATCCAATAAAAATATCAGGAGAACGGTTAAGAAGAGCTTCCATCCTTACCTCATTATAACCACAGGGTCTGTTCAGAAGCTACAAATAGGTTGTGAAGTGATTCTGGGAGCGTTGATGAACTCACAGGGTCGGTTGAACCAAAAAACTGCACTGCAATGGTTTGGAAGACTGAAAGTAAATATTGAACTAGTAAACTTCTCTTCAACTCTAATAGGTAGAGTCATCCGAAGACCTTTTTGAGTCTAAGAATTTGTTTAGATCACTCAAGACACGCACCACCCATTTGCCGCAATACTTATACGACTGTTTAAACTGACGTTAGGCAGCACCAAAAACGTCAGTCTCCCAGCCGTTCGGTACCAAACGAGCCTTCAGAGAAGTTGAGCGCTTCAACTTAAAGCTGGAGAAAACAAACAATCTTCTGTGAGAAGCAAGTCTTCAAGATGTCCTGCTATCAAACACTCAGTGTATCCGCGACCACTTTTGACAGTTATAGCTTTGAACTTATAAACGATTTTATCGACAATTTAGTCTTGTAAACCAATGCAAAATCTCTCTTGACATTTGGCGCTATGTGGGATGAATACCAAAGTCATCTCTCCATGAACAAAAACTAAACCCTACACGCCTTCCATCATTCACGAGTGGTGTCGACTTTCGATGAGGGAGCTTTAGAAGAAAGGTTTTGCGGAGGATATGGTGGCAATAGCGGAATGGTTAACAGGGTTCAAGTTTCGCGGTGAGTGTATTTCTCATGGTGAACACCATAGACATTGGAACGATGTGCTATAACAGATATACGACGGCATTGACACAGTCCAGCGAGTTAGAAGATAAAAAAAATTATTTTTATTAGAGCCTTTTTACGCTCCGTCAACGATATGTAACACGATTCCTTCAAATCTTAATTGAATGTCTTTACTATTTACCCCACATTGCAGCGAAATATTTCCATTATATCGCATTTCCTACATGTGGTTCACTTGTTTGGGTGCTTCGATCACAATTTTTATTGCTATTCTGTATTCGAGCATAGCCGGAGGTCAGAATCCCAAGAAGGTGGATGCATCGCTGCTCTCACCCTGTATAAGAAAATTTGTGCAAAATAAAGAAGGAAGTCTTAGAGTGACCGTAAGTCTAATTAATTCATTTTGTTTGTATTTAATAATGAAAATTTGGTTCTCTTCCAGAACAAATATTCGCCTAATGTGCGAGTGATGGCGAGGATTGCTGTCGACGAAGTTGCCCTCTAGTGCTTCTAAGAAATTTAGCATAATTGTAAGGAGAAAAAAAAAAAAATCAAACAATTTTTAAAAAAATTTAAATAAAAAAATACATATATATTTTATTTATATTTTTTGGAAATAAAAACTCAATTAAAAAATTCTTGAAACACTCAAACGTTAAACAAAATCGTCTAAAAATGCACAAAATATTTTGAATGAAATTTTCAATAATTGGTAACAGTGATAAAAACAGATTTAGTTCTATACACCACACAGCCGAAATTTGAAGCCCAGAGCAAACCAATGCTGGGAGAGACCACACCACAGCCGAAACTAAGCACTAAACTCTTGGTGATCCGGTTAGAGAGACAAAATCTTGTAGGGGTCTTACGTGGTGGACTGGGTAGAGAAGACAGCATTATTTCATTTTGTATTGAAAAAGAAAATATCTGGAAAGAGTTTTCAGTGTCACAATGATCATCATCACCGGATAATTGTCATCTGCTGCGCTGCAGATTTACTACCGGGCTAGCCTCGTAGCTAAAAAAGATCACACTCGTAATTGACGCTAAGCAACAAGCCTCTAATAAACTAAGTATTTGTACTTAAAGACACTACGGCCTGCAGTGCGAATATACTAGGTTCTCCGGAGAATGACGTTCGGGTAGCTCTAATAAATGCAGACGGTTGGTGTTAATAACTCAAGTTAAAGTTGGTTAAAGATCTACAAATCTTAATAGATGGCTCTAAACTTGGCAGATGGCCACGGTGTGCCTCACTGTGCCCAAACGGAGATCCAAAAGGTCTGTGAAGCTGCCAAACTACTGCGTTATCTTCAAAGTCAAAATATTTAGTACAAATATGGCAGCATACTACTGCTTGGAGTCAGCTACGTTTTTTACCACATTTAATTCAAATATCAGGTGTACAATTTTGCTTCCGCCGTTTTTTTCCAAAATTAAAAGCTTTATTGCTAAAAAGTGCTTACAGATATATTATTCAAAGTATTGTCTTTCTCAAGCGACAACTTTCTCCCATCTTTCCGGCAATTTTCGGATCCCGGCTCGAAAAAAGGAGTCCTCTTTTGACGCTATCCATGAAGCAATCCATCGAACGGAATAGGTGGAAGTCAGAAAGAGCGACATCTGGGGAATACGGCGGGTGTGGCAAGACTTCTCATTTCAGCGTTTCGAGGCACTTTTTGACCACTTTTGCGACGTGAGGCCGAGCATTGTCGTGTTGGAGGATGACTTTGTCATGTCGCTCTTGATATTGTGGCCGCTTTTCTTTTAGCACACGACTAAGGCGCATCAGTTGCATTCGGTAGCGATCTCCTGTGATGGTTTCACCCAGTTTTAAGAGCTCGTAGTAAATCACACCGAGCTGATCCCACCGAATACAAATCATAACCACCATGTTTGTCTTCGACATCGAAATCACCATTTTTAAAACGTTGAAACCACTCCCGACACGTTCTTTCACTCAGAGCAGCATCACCGTAAGTTTCTGAGAGCATTCAATGCGCTTCAGCTGCATTTTTTTCGAATTGTAACAGACAAGTAAAACTTCCCGCAAATGGTGAGAATTAGGCACATAAACGGACATTTTCGGCCGTGAATAATACGAAAAAAGAAAAACTGTCACTGAAACGGCGATGACAATTCGTTAGGCACTATCCACTCTCACTTTAAAGGCATTATCATCTATGTATTTCAACCAGCCTCAGCCGGTACACCCGTCTATCGGAAAACGGCGGAAGCAAAGTTGTACACCTGATACAATAATCCTTACATCGAAAGAAAAGGATGTATATTATAAAATCTTTTCTAAAAAAAATACTTTACTACAACTTTTCATATATTCATTAGGTTTATTTTAAAAATCTCTTATTTCTTTGTGTTCTTGGGAGGAAAAGTACCCCATTTGACAGCAACATCCCATTTTTAGGGTTTTGTGGCTCCGTCCCGCCTTTGTCGTTATAAAAGAAGTAAGATCCAATCATAACTCCGAGCAAAGAATGCATTAGACACCAAGGTTCTTCTAGGTGTAATGGCCTCTCTTCAATTTTTTGAGGATTCTCGAAATGTGCCTCGTCGCTAAAGAAAATTTTATTCGAAAAATAGCCGTCCAATTCTTTTTGCTCGCGTTGTGAATGGTCAACTCGGTTCAGTTGTTGTGTGAGCTGGACTTTATAGGGATGTAGGCGTAAACTCAAGAGTAAAATCCACCATAGAGCGCTGTAAGAAAGTCTCATATCTTGGGTACGTTGAGAAATAGATATATACGGGTCATCGGCTACATTACCGCCTACAGTAGCGAGATGGAATAGGCAAAACGACATTACACACTTTACCTGTAGCGGTAGGAGGCTCTTCAAATTTCTTTAAAATTTTTATCAATTACTTGTGCACCAAAACCTCTTTTTGAAGCCCGCAACCTGACCCCTTTTGAATTACCTTTTTCGTAGTAGGTTTTAATATTTCCAACGCAGTTGTCAAGCGATTCATTTTCATAAATGCCCGACTTTTAACTAAAACGAAACATGTTTGTTTTCACACGTCAATTTGACAGATCCCAAAATACAGCGCTGTGCTTTTGAAGCTACACAATCGATAACTCAATATAAAAACAAATATGAATCATATTTGCGATAAAACTTATCAGCGTTATGCCGATAATTTTCTATCGATACACATAACATAGCTCTCATCTTAAGCTGAGTGAACGCCCACCCACAACTGTGTGGACTAAATGAAGATGCGAATTTCTATAAAAAATAATTATCCATTAAATCAAGCGATCAATTGAATGTAAATTGTAAGCGTTTAATAATGGAATATATACATAGATATTTTCATATATTTACATGCCAAAATAAAGCGTATTGCAATCAAATAAATTATATGCTGCCCTGCAACAACAAACCGGCAATCAGTTAGTCAACTATTGGCTGCGCATAATTTCATTTCATTGCCAGTAAATATTTTCCTCAATTGCTTAAGTGCCACAGTCAAGTTAAGTTTTCTGCTGGAGGGCGATTTGATGAGGTGTGGGTGTTGACACTTTACTCAGACATAATCAACAACCTGCTGCCACTGTAATGTGTTGCAACATGCATCAATGCCATCAGAGGCAACAGCGGCAACAGCGGCAACAACAACTGCTTAACACCTCCTAACAACATGTATTTGTAATTAAAGGTATTTGTTGTAAAAGACAAAAAAAAAAAAAAAAAAAAAAAAAAAAAAAATTTTATTTCAGCATTGGCAACAAAAACATGTGTCNACTGTAATGTGTTGCAACATGCATCAATGCCATCAGAGGCAACAGCGGCAACAGCGGCAACAACAACTGCTTAACACCTCCTAACAACATGTATTCGCAAACAAAGAAATGCGCATTAAAAAATTGCAGAAAAAAATAAAAAAAAAAACAAAAAAAAATTTTATTTCAGCATTGGCAACAAAAACATGTGTCAGCCGCTGATATGCCCTTAGTGACGTCAGCGACGCTTGACACTATTTTGACTGAAGCATTTATTGCACTCATACATACATACGTGTACGTAAATGCATACAAACTTGTACTAAAAATATTGCGTCTACCGCTCACAGCTTTTGTTGCATTGCGTCAGTATGGCGCTGCATATATTATATTTACATACATACGTTGTAATTAAGCATAAATGCATACTTGATTGACACTTACACCTTATATTGAATATTGGATAATTTCATAAATTACAGCGTGAAAAAAATGAAATGAACACTCTTGCATACATACATACATAGGTATTTATTTATATATACAATAGTTTGCATACTTTTGTTAATGATTCTTTTCGGAAAAATAAAAAAATTTAGTTAAAAAAAAAAATAAAAAATATGCCGACAATTTTTTATATACATACATACTCGTATAAACATATTTATTTCAAAGGCATTTTTCTATAAAATTTCTTACATAATTTAATCTATTACATACATATAGAAATTTAAACATGAGAAATATATAAAAGAGCTGTAATTTGTAAAACTTACTTCCTGGTTGCTTTAATGTTCTAAGTATGTAAACCAATTTAAAAGTAATAAAGATCAGTGAGGTAGCTAAAGAAAAAACAATTTTCCAATTTGCCTTTGCTGTTTGCGATTCTCATGGAAAATTCCGCATATTCTTCTTCTTGATTGCCCTAATCAGCGCTTACGCGACTATAGCCGAATCTATATTCGTTCCTACTCTCTGCTGTTTAGCGCCAGTTGAAAATAGAGATCTTTCTCTTTCTCTACTTCCACTAGCAGGTACTGCATCGAATACTTTCAAAGCTAGGTAGCGTAGTCGCTGTCTCCTCATTCGCTTAACTATCTCAATGTCATCGTATATCTCGTACGGCGCATCGCTCCTTCAACTGTGGCATTCGCGGTTGTAAAATAACTATAAGTCGTTCGGAGAACTTTTCACTCGAATACTTCCAACGCCGACTCATCAGATGTCGACATCGTCCAGATTACTACGCCCTGAGTGACTTGTAGAGTTCGGTTTTGGTTCGTCGATCAATTGTCTACTCAATCCAAATTGGCATCATCTGAAAGTGATTAATTACGAGCAATGAGCAGACCACATACATCTATGATAACCAAGCAAAAATTGACGGTGCTTGGTTGGGAAGTTTTGATGAATCCACTTTGTAGCTCGGAACTTGCTTCACATCAGCCTACTATTTGTTTGGGTACCTGCAAAACTGTTGGTGAGCAGTTGGATGACAAAAGAACTGTTGGAAATTATTTGACCAAATTCTGCGCCGATAAACCACGAAAGTTCTACACAGACCTACGGTTTATACCAAGCCACCTACGAACGACTGATGGGTTTTTATGAGCAGCTTTTAATTTCATGCCAGAAATACACTCGGAGGGCTTGACATTTCCTGCCGAGTGCCGACCGCAATTAGAAAAATTAACTTAATTTTTTATTTACATTAATTTTCTATAAATTTCGGGTGTTGATCTGAACATTACTCGACCACTATTGTGGCCAGCATAATA